GTCAGCCAGGTCTCGGCAGTGAGATCCAGCAACAGCTCCCGCACAACAGGCCTTAGACTATCGCATAGTTCATGCAGGATGTCCACAGAAAGCAGGCTTGACTTCATCATCCAAGTGACTGTTGCAGCTTCACACAAAGAGCACAAACACTTTCATGCACCCCCAGTGGGTCCACATCTCTGCGCTTGCTGTCTTTCTTCGGCACCGCACTTTCATTTTCTTTGAACGGAGGCAGAGGACCAACAAATTTGTACGGGAGTTCAACCATTTCCAGTGCCTTGCTCCAGTTCGGGCATACAGAAAACTGTCTTGGCATATGAAACATTTGCAGTATCTGAATGTTTGGAGTCCAAGTTTCGTACATGATTCCGGGCGTGCTCCCCAGACACAAGTAAAATCGGGATTCATGCTGCATCATCATCCCACGTTGCATCAAGGAGGGCACGAAGAACTTGGCCTGGGCCGTGTCAAAGTCCACTCCCAACCTTATTTGATGAGTGAGCGGTCCGTATACATGCTTAAAGCATGCAAGGATAAACAAAAGCAGCTGTGCAAATCAAGCCGGTAGCTTTTGCGCATGGCGTAAAGCCTTCATGGTGTTGAGGGAGACCCTGGTGTGGTGGAACGGAGTCGTGCTGGGGAACGGCTTGAGTACATCGTCTAGCTTGAAATGACTGCCTGAGTTTCAAGCAGCGTATGCAATCAATATTCAGAATGCGGAATGACACAAGACAGCTTGAAGCATACGTCTTGAATTTAAGCACAGTGCTCTCGCCGTACGAGTCTGGCCGCCAAATGCTGCTTTTCAATGCTCGTACCTCGGCACCTTCCCAATCCTCAGAAGAGAGGCTGATACCACAGGGGGCTCTGCCTGGCTCATCAGCATCCTCCTCTCTGAGGATTTTCTTCTGCAGTGCCCGCACAGTCAAGCATTGCAGATTGGGAAGCGATGCTTTCTCGTGCTTGCTGGCCCTTTTGGCCGCCTCTTCCATCGACTGGAACATCGACTCGATGTTCGCGCTCGCGTTGAATGCTGGGTGCCATGCCATGATCAAGCTCTTTGTTTCCGAGTTGATCTTCCATTTGTTCTGCTCGAGACACGTCAAAATTTCCCTGTAATGCATGAAGTGCGTGTACAACGCGTTTTTCGCCAGGAAATCATTCCAGCGGGCCTGGGCTTCCAAGCCGAGCACCATCTGCCATTCGGCTTGCAGACTTGATAGGATCTGCTTCTGCGTCTCCAGTTCTGGAGCTGTGCACCCATCCACGGCCAGAGCACAGGCACTCATGGGAGCACTTTGTAAGTGCAAGGCATAATGCACTAACTCGAAAATGATCGACAGCAAGGCCTGCACATGATCATGAACCAAGTTCTCCAATGTGCCTCGTCTGCGTTCTTGCACAGCGAGCACCTGCCCAGCTTTTGCGGTTACGACATATTGTGTGCACTTATTACTGTAAATACATATCTTATAGGGATCAGACCTGTGCTAACTCTGAAGGCTATATGTGGAGACAAATCGCATATTGTAGCAGACGTTGTAAGAACAACGGTTTGTCTTTGATTTATGAAATATGTAGCTTCTTGACGAAATCCAGGTCCTTACTCGGGTTAGGGTTTAGGGTTAGGGTCTGGGGCTCAGGGTTTCGCAGGGATATTATAATAGGTGCTGGTGCTGGGGACAGGTAGTAGCAACAGCAGACACAGAGGTACAAATTTGAAAATGGAAGGTAGGCGGATAGGCCGCCAGCGGCTAGTCCGCTCAGTCACTAGAAGCATTTGCAGGCTTACTGTACGGAGGAGGTCTGTTCTCAAAATGTTGACGTTCCAAAACCTCGAGAGTCAGTACTCATCGCCTCTTAAGATTCAGCTTCTCAGCCGGTCTGTGAGAGATTTTCAGGCCTTAGATAGGCTTTAGAAAAACGATGACTTTCAGGGTAACGAGGCTTGACGAAGTTTTGGGCGTGAGGGGTGAAGGATGAGGCATTTGGGGTAATCTTTGGGGTAAAGCTTAGTAAGGGTTGATAGTCTACTTGGAGGACCATGAAACTTAGTAGCTAGGAATGTAAACACCGCACCTCTAGTCATCATAACTACTTGCAGCTCCAATATACTCCAGTTAAGGTACTTATAGCCTTATTTCCTAAGTCCCATGATCCTCCCTAAACCTTAACCCCTAAACCCTAAACCTCTAAATCCCTAAACCCCTAAAGCCTAAGGCCCTAAGCCCCTAAACCTTAAACCCTGACCCTAAAACCCTAAACCCCCTAAACCCCTAAACCCCTTAAGCCCTAAACCCCTAAACCCTAAACCCTTAACCCCAAAGTAAGGATTATGGGTCTAAGTTTCGGAGCGGCAGTCTGTG